ATTTAATGCACGATGGTTTTGAAGGGTTACCTGTGCCAGGGATGTAAGTAGTTGCTGCAAGGAGGTGAGAGACTTTTAGGTGGAGTTTATGACCAGCTTGAGTTGTTCATTAATGTTTTGTGTTTGGAGTATGCTGTGCCTTAATGGGTGAGAGTGCAGATGTGGGCATGCGGATGCATGAACATAAGTGAGTGAGTTTGTACCAATCAGTGTGAGTGGGCACATGGGCATGTGAGTGTGTGCAGGCATGTGTACGGAATGTAAATGAATGTTGTATGAATAGTGAATATAGGAGTGTGAGAATGTGAGTGTGAGAACTAGTTGTTTTAGTGAATATAGGAGTGTAAGAATGAGCTGGTGTATTAACAATTATATTGTGTTTGTAAACTTTATGTAGAGAAAAGCTATTTTCATCCTGATTTGTGAAGGAACAGACTAGCTGTGGTGATGACTTGGGTTTAGCTTTTATAATAACTTGTGTATTCTGTTAGCAGGCTTTGTTCAGGGATTGTTTCCTGAACTATGAATTGCTACATATACATGTCTGAGACTAGGAAGGGATTGAGTATAACAGAATTGAGTAAGAAGTTAAGTAGAAGAAGTTTTAATAAAGCATAAGGTGGTAGGGCCCACCATCCAAGTGGAGTAATGGTCATGGTGTGGGTTAGGGGTTCATTTCACCCAAGTCAGATGATGCCAATTGGGGTCTTCGAGGATTTAGATTGTTCTGGGAGTGGTCAAGACGATGATGTGCGGTATTTTTACTTGGGTTGCATAGGTCGAGGATGGAGATTTTTAGCAGAACAGAGTCTTCTGGGTTGATTACAGGTAGGTCAGGTTGCGCAGGATCTAGGGCAGGTAGACATCTGTCTGCATGATCTTGGAGAAAAGTTACTAGGGTTTGGTAAATGTAAAGGCAGAGACTGGAGGAGAGTTTGCTGGAGTTTGTTAAAAGGTTGCTTTGTTTAATTGGGGAGAGTCTAGAGGGCTAGCAGGGGTGGCTGGTTTGAATTAGTGACCTTGTCTGCTTTGTTGCTTCCCTGTGTTCCTGGGGAACTATCTGCTTGATGTCCTTTACATTTTTTTTTAACTGAATATGAAAATTGTATGAACTAAGTGCCAGCAAAGACTTAAGGGTCTGCTGGGAATCGTTTTGGTTGCAACGCATGAAGGCTGCTGCAACCACCTGTGGGGAGTTTAATGGTTTAGTTACAAGGGAGAAATTGGGGATCTAATGTAAGTATTTGTTCACTCAAAGCCGGTGGTTGGAGGTTCTTTATGACTTAGTGTTTATTTAGAATTAAATTCTGAGTGGTGGGGGTGGAGCACAGGCTTAAACAGATAGCTGCTGAATGAGATAAGTGTGTCTTGAAGGGAGAGAGAAGCTAGGGAGTTGGGCTGTGTCTGCTTTAGAATTGTTTTAGGAGAGGCTGAAGGTAAAGGCAAACAAATGCTGACAAGCTGGGTTAAGTGGGAAGGTAAAAGAAAGGTATCCTTAAAGGTGGGGTGGGAGGCTTGGAGGGATGACCATCAATTCCCACAACTGAGAACGGGGAAGGGGAAGTTGGGCTCGAGAAGGAGTGGAGGACTGAAAAGACAGCTGTACCATGTCCACCAAAAGGAAACCAGCTTACCTGCTGCCCTGATCGCCACCCTGGGCACGGCGTTGGGAGAGTCACTGAGGTTGCTGAGTGAGGGGCTTCTTTGTCGGTCATCATCAAGCAGTGTTAATGGCGGTTCAAGGTTAGGAGGGACTGACCCATCATGGCTAGGCCACTTCTCCAGTGGTCCTACTGACTGCAAAATGGGCAAGGCTTAGTGGGTGTCTTGGGATGTGGGTAATGCTAAACCCAGTGCCCTTCCTGGCCGTATGTGAAGCAGGGTCCCAGTGGCAGGTGGTTAGATTTACTGTTGAAATTGCTGTTTCCTGAAGTCTTCTGACCCCTCCCTCCAGCCAGCTTCAGGGTGGCAATCAAGACTTGGGCTTGCCAGCTTGCCCCCTGGTGGGCTCGGGATTCATAAGCTGCCTCAGCCTATACCTCTCAGGTGTTAAAAACTTTAAATGCCATGTTTACCAGGCCACTGATGGGGTCTGAGGGCCATCCTCAGCTTTTTAGGTTTCCTTTTAATGTCGGTGGCTGATTGTGTTATAAAACAAGTAGCTAGTGGCAGCCGCTTGGATGGTGGAGGAGGCGGCGAGCCAGAGCCGGCGTCTCAGCTCCGGGCCGAGGGAGCTGGGGAGCCCGAGCGCGCGGGGACCTGGCTCCGGCTTGGCGGGCAGCTCTGCGCGACTGAAAGAATGTATATCAGGATTTCTTTCCAAACCTGTCTTACAAATAATAGCAGATCTTAATTAGGAGATTTATGTTGCTATGAGGACAGATTCATCAGAAATGACTGATGTGGAGTCTGTGATCACCAATTTTGCATCTTCAGCAAGGACAGGCCGCAGGAATGCCTTACCGGACATCCAGGGTTCAGCTGCTGCAGAGGGAACCTCAGATTTGCCGGCCAAACTGGAGGCTCTCAGCATGAAGGAAGATGTAAAAAAGAAAGATGAAGAAACAACACAAGTGCAAGTGGAAAACTGTCCAAATGAAGGAAAATGAAGTCTCATCTCCTATCAAAAGTGCTGAATTTGTGTGCATTGAAAGACTTAGAGGTTCTCTTTCCTCGGCTGTTCCCATGTCTTCATTGGGACATGCTGTCCTCAGCAACATGTGTGTTCCAGGATTTTGTGATGTTATTTACTTGGATTGTAATCCTGATATGTTCTGTAAGCTAGCACATAAAAGACAGGTTCCTTCCAAATTACACCCAAGGAAAAGATAAAGTATGATTGCTTAAATACATATCATTGTCTATAAACTCAACAAAATTATTGTTCCCTTAAAAACTTAGTTAGCCAGATTTATTTCTAATTCCATTTCTATGGTGATGGGTAAACTATTTCTTGGGAAATATAAACCAACACCACTAATTTAAAACATATATTTGTAGCAAAGTGATTTCTTCTATTGTTGTTGTGAGGAACAAAAGAATAAAATCACAGTGTGTGTAAAACAAAAAACAAAAAACAAGTAGCTAGCACAGTAGCCCCCATTGGAGAGGTAGGGTCTTGCCTAGTATACTGGGTTAAGGCTTCAGTTAGGCGAGTGAGGAAAGCTGCCGGGTTGTTACCTGGTTGCTGGGTAATTTCCTGCAGCTTGTCGGAGTTTACTGCTTTGTGAGAAATTGTTTGTAAGCCGGCCAGCAAGTACTGTGTCATGCAGTCTCGGCAGGCCCTGCCTTCACATCCAGCTTGGGTATCTATTTGATAGGTTTAATCTGGCTCTTTCCTAGGAACTTCCTGAGGACTCATGGGCATGGTGGCATCTGTGAGATGGATCTGATCTGCATGTTGTTGTAACACCCACTTCCGCTCATCGGGGGTGAGGGTGGAAGTGAGGACTATATTAAGGTCATGCCAGGTTAAGTCATAAGCCTGGGTGAGATATTGTAACTCCTTAATGTATGTAGTGGTGTCGTTAGAAAATTTTCCCAAGTGCTTTATTATCTGGGAGAGATCTGGGAGGGAAAATGGTGCATGGACCCTGATGGGGCCCTCAGCTCCAACCACCTCACTGAGGGGACAAAAGTGATGTGACCTACAGTGAGAAGCAACAGGGGAAGGGAGAAGGGCCCTGAAAGGTTGAGGAGGCTGAGGCTGAGGGGGCTGAGGAGGTTGAGGAGGAGGGGAAGATTGAAGAGGAGTCTGACTAGGTTCTGGGACAGAAGGGGGTGGAAGGGAGTAAGGTGGAGGACGGGTAGGTGGGAAGGACAATGCTTTCAGAGAGTCAGAAGGGGTGAGATTGGGTTGAGCGGTGGTGGAAGTTAACGGGAGTTTAGCAGGAGCTGCTGAGGGTGATTGAGCAAGTGAGACCTGGGCTGGATGACAGGTGACACATCAGGAAGGACAAGAGCAGAGGAAAAGTAAAGCCTGAATGTACAGAACCTCAGACCATTTTTCAGTCTGGTGGCAAAAATTGCCGAAGTCGCAGAGAATGTTGGACTCGAAAGTCCTGGCCAGCATGACTCATTGTCCAATTGGAATTGTGGCCATACTTGGTTACAGAAAAAGACTGGATTCTTAGAGCGAACATCTGGAGCCAGGCCCAGTTCAGTGAGATTGGTCAGGAGGCATCCCAAGGGACTGTCCCTGGGAGGCTTCGAGAGTGAGCTTTCCATGGTGTCTTAAACTGCAAGGGGTGCGGTCAGAGGAGAAGGAC